GATCATTACTCGATAAACATTTACTGGTAAGTATATGGTATATATTTTGTCAGATTAGAGAAGTTATTGCGCTCCTCGCATTAGCATCTAATTGTTGCTTGCCGCGCGCTCTCTCTCTCTCTCATCTCTCTCTCTCTCTCGTCGTCGCTCTCTCTCGTTCTCTCCGCCTCTCTCGTCTCTCTCAGTCTCTCTCTCGCTTTTCCGTCCTCGTTCACAGGAGCGCAAATGTACGACGGGCGTTATATAAGTACGTATATATGTATATATGGAGATATATAGATATATATACTATTATAGAAGATATATTTGTTTGTGCGCGTGCGTTGTCGGTGGCGCTGTGCGTGTGCGGCGCTGTGGCGGTTGGCGGTGCGGGTGGGTGTGCGTGTGCGTGGGGTGTGCAGTTGGCGTGCGTGCGCGAAGCGTGTGCGCGAGCGGCGTGATCTCGGCGTGCGCGTTGTGGAATTGTGATAATTCCATCTGTTACTGTAAACATTCTGCAAACGTGAAACTAAAACGACAGTGCTGCGAAACTACCAGGCAGTTTAGGGTAATAAAATAGCTTCAATATTTTAAGCCTCTACTCTCTTGTAATACTATACCTAACTCCACTTCACTGCTTTCTAGTTCAACAGCCAGGTTTTCTTTGCTGGAACATGAGAGCACGTCTAGACTTCCAAAAAAGAGGAATGCAAATGTGTGTACACATAATCACGCACACACACACGCCCGCACACACATATGCTCGCTCGCGCACACACGCTCGCGCACACGCGCGCGCACACACACACACACACACGCGCACGCACGCACACGCACGCACACACACACACGCGCGCGCGCACAGATACCGCACACGCGCGCACACACGCGCGCACGCACACGCACACGCACACGCACACGGGCGCACAGATACGCACACGCGCACGCACACACGACCACCCTAGAAACATACTACCCGAGGTATACACTATATTATATAGTAGTGAATTTCTGGAGTTAAATCAATGCAATTGACATTACTTGGTACACGTTTAATGCCTGCGCGCATATTAGTCCACGCATGTTGTGCATGTTTGCTTGCTTGTGTGCGTGCGCGCGTGCGTGTTTGCGTGCTTGCGTGCGCGTACGTGAATTTGTGAGTTTGCACCTGCACACGTTCGCGACCGCCTGCGCAATATCACAAACGCTCAGATTGGCGCATACAATAACCGCCCCCTCACGATGGTTTCAAATCGCTGACAGCAACGACGACGACAATGATGCAATCCGTTCTAGTTATTACAATTCGTACAATGTTATTGTAGATGTTTCAACATAGTTGCCAATTGTTTCCATAATTTTATACTGTCAGGTTTAATATAATGCTATTTACACGTTGGACTTATTATTTCTGTGCACATACTTTGTTGCTACTATGCGTATCAGATTAAATGCTCGCTCCTTATTCACCCACCAACTTGTCTTTTCTACATACAACATAGTGAAAGAAGCATCCAACTGTTAAATACGATAGAGTTAGAGTTAGAGTTAGAGTTAGAGTTAGAGTTAGAGTTAGAGTTAGTGTTAGTGTTAGGATTAGAATTAAGATTATCGTATAAGGCCTACTCGGACGATGTGTTCACAGACTGTATTAACAGCAATATATGTCCAATTCAGCTGGCGTTCAATTACCCAAATCTTGTTTTTCAACAGAATGTTCCTAATTGCTATGCAATTATTCCGGCATGATTACACAGATGTAATTCCCGAATCCTATTCCCCAAATGCGAATCACTTACATTGCAGCAGAACACCCCAACTGCATTATTATTCTCCCAGTGTTGACAGTGCAGTTGTCGTGGTCAGGCCCGTCGGAAGGAAGTGCTACGGTTTCAGTGGGGGTCTGGTGGTGAAACCCCCAGCGGGGTTCGAAGGGGCAGACAGGGTGAAGAACTTTTTTTGAATTGGGGGTGCAAATCATGCAATTTAGCACACTTTAAAGTGATTTTATTTCCTTCATTGTACTGCAGAAAAGCGACAAAACTACTTCATTAAATAGAAATTGAGGTCAAGCTGCAGAACTCTTCATACAGCTGCATCAACTGAACACACACACACGCGCCGCGCGCGCACACACACCAACGCACAGAAAGCAGATTAAAAAAATCGAGTTTTTTTCGTTTTGGTTGACTTCTTCCCACCTCCCCCCTCCCGGCCACCCCTGGATCCGCCACGGACCCCACCAAATGAAAGATAGGTTAGGGCGGTTTGTCAAATAGACCTCGCAAAAATGCCATAGCCCTGGTTTGTCCCATGGAATTTACCAGAGAAGGGCGCGGAGAATGGTGTCCAAATGATCGTGTCGTATAAGGCCTACGTTGGAATTATAAGCAATTTTTAATATTGGAATGAAGAGGTGACGAAAATATGGGCGGGAAAATCTATATAGTGACTAACTATAAATAGGGGGTTTCACGTTCAGGTGCGTGAGCTTAATTTTATCACCTTTTCTTGAGGATATTATTTTTAAGTCTTTGCGATTGTGATGGGAAAAGTTTGTGGCATATATGCTGTTCTTCGGTTTATGATGATAAATGCGTTTCATAATAATTGAAAAAAAGGCCAAAGTCACTTCGATGTTACGTGTTTCTTTCCATAGTGTATGATAAAGCCTATGCATCAGCCTTATGATCATGACATTTTATCACCCTCGCACTTTTCTCTCTTCTGTCCTTCTCTTCTCTTTTCTTCTCCGCTCACTCTGTACCTTTTCTCTTCTCTTTTCTTTCTCCCTCTCCATCTCTCTTCTTTTTTTTTTTCTTCTTTTTTTTTCTTTTTTTTTTAGACTGAAAAGTGGTACGGTCAATTCCCGCTACCCACACCGTAGCCGGTCTCACGACGGCCTGTCCGTCGGTAAACAGACAACGTTGATGCATCGCATCCTCACTTCCCGCGTGATTTCATGTATTGGCCATATAGTTCCATTGTGTTTTTATTTGCATCTTTTTTTTTATATGCAGCATCTCTATGTGCCGCTTATCAATGGTTGACATGATTACTTTTATACTGCGTAGCGTAGCCTACTGGAACGAGTTTTTAAATTATGTGCGTGCGTGCACCGTGCGCACATTTGCGCGCGTGCGTGTGCGCGTGCGTGAATGCGCGTGCGTGCACGCGTGCGTATAGCTATATGTTTGTGCGTGTGCGTGCTCACGCACGTATCTAGGTATCTGTTCATGGGCATGCAAGCGCGCTTGTTTTGCGTAATATGATGTTGGTTAGTACACATATATAATCAGAAGCCGAAAAAAATCAAACGTAGTTTTTCGTCCTGAAGTCTCTGTCTTCTCCATCTGCCGTCGGTGATCTGATGCATCTATTATGGCTGCAAAATAAAACACGGAGAGTAAAAACGTCTTCAGTCAAAAATGTTAGGTAGGCGAAATACAAATAAAGGAAGCCCAAGTGTCTTTAAATATATTTTGGTACATATGAAATAGTAATATTGAAATAAATCAAAGTGCGAAAATATTTATGCAAGCATGTAACGCATTCGTCGTGCACGCTCTGCCAATCTGTTGTTAAACATTCTCCACGCATTCACGTTCCGTTCAACGGTTTCCCCTATATAGGAACGGGAACTTACATATCGGCATCTTGCGAGAAGATATTCTGATATCAGTGCATACTATTGTCTTTTTTTCCGACATCCACTTCCGCATCTTCTACGTCCACTCAGAGCGATGAGGTGCCACTGACTGCGGGCTAGTCACCTGCTGCCACCTGTTGATAGGCTGTAGCAATGATTTATTCAGCTCGGCATAGATGAAAAGCTTCATCACTGGCTAAATCTATATGGCTTATAACCTCATAAAGATTCGTCTTCAAAGTTATTGTGATTGTCCCGATGAAAGAGAGAGTCAAGATTGATTAAACATGTATGCTACTTGGCGATACTGCGGGGCAGAATTTTGGGCTGCGCATGTGGCATCGCGAGGGAGTTCATTGCTAGATTTGCACGTGTAATACCTTAAGCGGATACGTTTTATCGGTTAAAAATCTTTCGCTTGCATATAATTATGTAAACCGTGACACTGCACAAGATAACAGTGAAAGAAAGTTTCTTACGCTTACCAGCCATCATTTATGAATGAATCCGTGCATGGCACCATGTCCAGGCTGCACTTGGCCATGCACCGGTCTGCGAAAGCAAAATTCGTTGCTTTTTGAACTGTAATGAAACAAAAGAGAAGGCGATACGAACTATGAGTATTCATTAGAAGGTTGTAGTAGGCACTACGCGTCTAGAATTTAGCAGTTCTTAATTTCACCTTTTGACTTATTATTTGTCAGAAAAAAACTTCCCAACATCATGTTTTTCTGTGTTTTCAAAAATGCTCATAATACAATGTCGCTCCAAGCGCACGCCGCCCACAGTCCCACATGTGGCGAAGACGTCATGAGGGACGGCGGTACATAGAAGCAAAGAGGAGCCGTATGGTGCGAGGCGTTGAGGTGCGAAGTCGATAAGGCACAAACTGACTTTTGATGAAGTGCCGTCCTTCGGCAGGGGACGAAGAACCACAACGCCGAACGTCGGTCTGCAGGTGGGTCTCACGTCGACTGACATGGGCCGCGCGAGCGTAGCGCGCGTCTTCAGAGCGGTAAATGTACATCTGCCTGGCGAGAAGAGCATAAAAGAAACTGCTAACAAGGTTGAGGCAGCAGTGGCCGAATTCAACAGGGCGGATATGAGTCTAGTGCGCGATGAAATTAGAACGTTAAATGAGGGGCGCGGCCTCACGCCCAAGGCGCCTATAAGAAACCGAAGGCAGCAGGAGGTACAGCAATGCGCTGTGGGCCGGTGCAGGTAAGACACCCTTCCAAGCGGCTTCCCAGTGCATATACACCGTGTCTCAAAACGTGGGCATCGGAGTTGATCTCTTAAATAAACTGTGCAAAAAAGCAGCTCACCTACGAGCTCTTGGTCACAACGTTATCGGACCAAATCACCCCGGTCAATGTTCTGCAAACTTGCGTCGCGACGAGATGAGAAACGCTCTGCAGAGAGAATCATGAGAGAGCTCGCAAAGGACACGAATCCACTTTGCGTAAGTGTCATCGGTACTCTGACGAGTACGGTCTGGTCTACAGGAAGCTGCAGGCAATACGTCTGAAAAGGAAGAGTTGTGTATTGAACGCGAGACGTCTCAACGAGAATCGGCGAAAAGGCATTTCTAAAACCTAACTTTCGCTCGCACATGTTTCCTGGACATACTAAGGAGGAGCGAGAAAAGAAAACGGTGAGTCGCCCATGACCTGAGGCGACACTGTGTGGCAGAATTTCGGGGGCGGCGGTTATAGCATCGCGAGGGAGCAACAGAAAACTCGAGCAACTACACATCAACGTCCACAAAGCCACCGGCACTGCTACACAACGAATGGAGGATGGCGATGCCGCATGTATTCTCTTGTTTGTGGCAAGCAGAGCCTTTAAAAACAAAAGTTACCTGCTCGAGGGTTACCTGCAGATGCAGCGCTCCTGGAATAGTGGATCGCTTCAGCAGGCCGATGCTGGGAAAAGCTCATTTCAATACGTGTACGCAGAAATCCGAAGCCATCCTCAAGGTCTGTTAAGAAACTAAAACAGGAACAGCGGAGACGCGATGGCATTGATAGTGTTATATAATATGTATGTAGGCCTACGTATGTATATATATATATATATATATATATATATATATATATACCCGTACTAATTATATATATTATAATCCGTTTTGTGTAAATGTCATGACGACAGACAGCAAGGCGGCGGCAACTACTTACCCGCGTCCACAAAGCCATCGTACACTGCTAGTCTACACAGCGCAGTGTGGATAGCGATGCCGCATGCATTCTCGTTTGTGACAAGCCCTGCCCTTGAGACACGAGTTACTTTTCCGAGGGACTCGCTCCCACCGCTACAGACGTAACGTTCCTGAATGAGTGGATCCCTCAGCAGGCTGACACTGGAAAAACTTGTTTCAATACCAGTAAGCAAAAATCCAAAGCCATAAACATGTCATACCAAACATCGATTCCAAAATGCAATTGATCGGGGCCCCACTTGTTTCCGGGATCCGTTCCGTTCCGTTCCGTTCCGTTCCGTTAAGTACTTAGAACAGCAACAGCGGAGACGAAATGGAGGACAGAAATGGTGTTACGCTCACGCATTTCGCACTCAGGCTGTCGATGATTGTGAAGAGTAGAAACACGTCGATTTCTCAATTTCGATTTCTGCCACAATAGCCCATGTATAAATAGATCTTCTATTCAGCTGGAGCATGAGAGCATGGCTAGATTGTTCTAAAAGAGAGCATGCAAAGGTGTGTATACATAATCACGCGTGCACACCTACTCGTGCACACGCACACACATACGCTCGTGAACGCACTAACACCCTCTCACGCAGACACACATATAAGCTGGCGCATGCGCCAACCCGCGCACGCACTAACCCTCTCGCACGCGCGCGCGCGCGTACACACGCGCACACGAATATGCACAGCGTTCAACGTTTCCCCTATATAGGAACGGGTATCTACATATCAGCATCTTGCGAGAGGATATTCTGTTAAGCCTGCCGCACACGCTGTGTTTTGTGCTGCGCCATCGGCCACGCGTCGGGGCCGTACCCAGAGGTTTGGCACAGGGGGGTTACAAAATGGCCGATGCGAAGCTTCGCCCGCGAGCCGCGAAGCGGTGAGTGGGGGGGAAGTCCGGCCAATTTTTTTGGGTGTTTTTTAACATGCTTAAGATGTTATTTCCTGGCATCTAGTTCACTTCAATTGTTTTGTTGAATTCATACAAAAAACAGTGTATATCACCATAAACATATACATCAATAAAATAAATGAGATTTGTAACAAAACTCGTCTCTGCTGTTGGGAATTATGACTAATTATCTCACGTGGTGTGATCCATCCCAATCTAGATACACTAGGATGATGACCTGTGACTCTGAAATTATAGTGTTAACTAAAACTGTTACAGTAGTAGAGTGTTCAAGTAGTTACAAACCATCAATGAGTCTTTATCTTAAAAAAAGTTATATTACATTTTAATGCTTACACAAAAAGTTAACTTTACCATTAAATTTGACTAGTTGCACACCTGCTTTACAGAGCCCGTAGCAGCCTTATATAATTGGGGGGGGGTTTCGATTTTTCAATGTTGGCAATTGCTCGGCAGGCGGGCGTGTACAGATATTTACCGGAGGGGGGGGGGTCGAACCGCTAACCAAAGCTTGCAGAGGCAACGCGAAGGGGGGTGTGGGGGGCCCTCCCCAGAAATTATTTAAATTAGACCCCTCAGATGGCGTTTCTGCGCGAGCAAGGGGGGTCGCGACTCCCTGGCCCACCCGCTACACGCCCGCTGCTCGGGCCGCGAAGGCGACCAGCCGAAGCGGAGGCCAAGCGACCGAGGCGTGGGGGATGGGTATGGGAGGGGGGTGTTACACATGTTCACCCTCCCGCAGCGATGGAGATTTGCAAATTATTTACTCCACTAAAATGGAGCGAACTGAGGATGAAAATTCTTAGCAAATTTTCCAAAAAAAAACAGTTTTGCTTGGGGGCTCGGATGGCGGGGGTATCGTATCGAACCCCCCGAACCTGCCCCTGCTAACGGGCCTGTGTTAATAGCCCACTTTATATCACAATACATTTATTGTGTATAGATCCCAATGTAAACCGAAGTATAGACCGAGTAAACAAACTGTACGGTCCATACATGTTACTAGGTTAAACTAGTACTTTTTGTTTTTTTTATTCAAACAAGGGGGGTTACAGAAACAATAACGCCCCCTGGGTACGGCCCTGCGCCGCTGGCTGCATGCGCAGCACAAAAACACAGCGTCGTGCGCGTGGCAAAACGCATCGACTTCTTGCCGTGTGGAAAATATCACACGTGTTTGATAATTTTTCTTCCACGTGTGCAGATTCCACAGCGGTTGAGGATCGCTTGTGTCAAGTTTCCCACCGAGCGTCTATCCGTAACGCAGACAATAGCAGCCAGGTCAAAGCGAGTCACGTGATCTAACTTGCCGCGTTGCAGCGCGGTTGACCACGCGGTAGCACGCAGATACACGCACGTCACACAGCACGATACACGCGGGTACACGCGGCATACACGCACGATACACGCGGGTACCACGCGGATAGCACGCACGTACACGCGGTACCACGCACATCACAGATTACACAGATACGACGCACGACAACGCGGTAGCACGAACGTACACGCAGGCTACACGCACGTACACCAGCGCGGTACACGCACGTACACGCAACGTACAACGCGGTAAGCACGCGGATACACCGCACGTACACGCCGGGGTAAAAAAACACGCACTGTACAGCACAGATACACGCACGTACATGCGGGTAGCACGGCACGATACAGCGCACGTACACGCACGTACACGCGGGTACACGCACGTACACGTAGATACAACGCCACGTACACACAGATAACAGCGCACGTAACACGAGGTACACGCACGTGCCACGCGGGTTACACGCAGGACAGCGACGCTACTACAGGTCAGCACGCAGGCGTACACGCCGGAATGTACACCAGACACGACGTACACGCGGCGTACACGCACGACACAACAGATACACCGCGCACGTACACGCCGGCGTACACGCACGTACACGGCCAGGGTACACGCACGTACACGCACAGTACACGCGGATACAGGAGCGATACACGCACGTTACACGCACGTACACGCGGTACACCGAGATACACGCACGTACACACGGGTACACGCACGTACACGCAGGTACACGCACGTACACACATATAACCCGTACACGCAGGGTCACGGACGAGGATTAACACGCACGTACACGGATTACAGCACGCGGTACAACGCAGCGTACACGAGCGTACAACGCACAGTACACGCGCGAGTAACAGCACGCGATACACGCACGTACACCGCGGCGAACACGCGGATACACCGCACGTACAGCGGCGAGTACACGCAGCAGTACACAACAGATAAACGGCA